CCCATAGAAAATCTTTGGAGGGAGTTGAAAATCTGTGTTGCCCAGCGACAGCCCCAAAACATCACTGCTCTAGTGGAGATCTGCATGGAGGAATGGGCCAAAATACCAGCAACAGTGTGTGAAAACCTTGTGAAGACTTACAGAAACGTTTGACCTGTGTCATTGCCAACAAAGGGTATATAAGAAAGTATTGAGAAACTTTTGTTATTGATCAAATACTTATTTTCCACCATAATTTGCAAATAAATTCATTAAAAATCCTACAATGTGATTTTCTGGATTTTTTTTTCTAATTTTGTCTGTCATGGTTGACGTGTACCTATGATGAAAATGACAGGCCTCTCTCATCTTTTTAAGTGGGAGAACTTGCACAACTGTTGGCTGACTAAATACTTTTTTTCCCCACTATATATATATTTTTGGTGGAAATTATGGTGGAAAATAAGTATTTGGTCAATAGCAAAAGTTTCTCAATACTTTGCTATATACCCTTTGTTGGCAATGACACAGGTCAAACGCTTTCTGTAAGTCTTCACAAGGTTTTCACACACTGTTGCTGGTATTTTGGCCCATTCCTCCATGCAGATCTCCTCTAGAGCAGTGATGTTTTGGGGCTGTCGCTGGGCAACACGGACTTTCAACTCCCTCCAAAGATTTTCTATGGGGTTGAGATCTGGAGACTGGCTAGGCCACTCCAGGACCTTGAAATGCTTCTTACGAAGCCACTCCTTCGTTGCCCGGGCGGTGTGTTTGGGATCATTGTCATGCTGAAAGACCCAGCCACGTTTCATCTTCAATGCCCTTGCTGATGGAAGGAGGTTTTCACTCAAAATCTCACGATACATGGCCCCATTCATTCTTTCCTTTACACGGATCAGTCGTCCTGGTCCCTTTGCAGAAAACAGCCCCAAAGCATATTGTGTCCACCCCCATGCTTCACAGTAGGTATGGTGTTCTTTGGATGCAACTCAGCATTCTTTGTCCTCCAAACACGACGAGTTGAGACTTTACCAAAAAGTTCTATTTTGGTTTCATCTGACCATATTACATTCTCCCAATCCTCTTCTGGATCATCCAAATGCACTCTAGCAAACTTCAGACGGGCCTGGACATGTACTGGCTTAAGCAGGGGGACACGTCTGGCACTGCAGGATTTGAGTCCCTGGCGACGTAGTGTGTTACTGATGGTAGGCTTTGTTACTTTGGTCCCAGCTCTCTGTAGGTCATTCACTAGGTCCCCCCCGTGTGGTTCTGGGATTTTTGCTCACCGTTCTTGTGATCATTTTGACCCCACGGGGTGAGATCTTGCGTGGAGCCCCAGATCGAGGGAGATTATCAGTGGTCTTGTATGTCTTCCATTTCCTAATAATTGCTCCCACAGTTGATTTCTTCAAACCAAGCTGCTTACCTATTGCAGATTCAGTCTTCCCAGCCTGGTGCAGGTCTACAATTTTGTTTCTGGTGTCCTTTGACAGCTCTTTGGTCTTGGCCATAGTGGAGTTTGGAGTGTGACTGTTTGAGGTTGTGGACAGGTGTCTTTTATACTGATAACAAGTTCAAACAGGTGCCATTAATATAGGTAACGAGTGGAGGACAGAGGAGCCTCTTAAAGAAGAAGTTACAGGTCTGTGAGAGCCAGAAATCTTGGTTGTTTGTAGGTGACCAAATACTTATTTTCCACCATAATTTGCAAATAAATTCATAAAAAATCATACAATGTGATTTTCTGGATATTTTTTTCTCAATTTGTCTGTCATAGTTGACGTGTACCTATGATGAAAATTACAGGCCTCTCTCATCTTTTTAAGTGGGAGAACTTGCACAATTGCTGGCTGACTAAATACTTTTTTCCCCCACTGTATATATATATATATATATATATATATATATATACACACATATTTGTGAGAAAGAAAAACATATGGGGGATTGGAAGTGATGCAGACAATTACATTGATGGAAGTTACAATCTATCTGCAATATTAAAGGTGATCTACCCCCTAAAGAGAAGAAAAAAAATAAGAAAAAAAATCCCTCTTTGCCATGAAAATGAACTTAATCCCAAAAAAACATTTCCACTGCATTTCAGCCCTGCCACAAAAGGTCAGTGATTATCTCGTTAACACAGGTGAGAGTGTTGACGAGGACAAGGCTGGAGATCACTCTGTCATGCTGATTGAGTTAGAATAACAGACTGGAAGCTTTAAAAGGAGGGTGGTGCTTGAAATCATTGTTCTTCCTCTGTTAACCATGGTTACCTGCAAGGAAACAAGTGCCGTCATCATTGCTTTGCACAAAAAGGGCTTCATAGGCAAGGATATTGCTGCTAGTAAGATTGCACTTAAATCAACCATTTATCGGATCATCGAGAACTTCTAGGAGAGAGGTTCAATTGTTGTGAAGAAGGCTTCAGGGCTCCCAAGAATGTCCAGCAAGCGCCAGGACCATCTCCTAAAGTTGATTCAGCTGTGGGATCGGGGCACCACCAGTGCAGAGCTTGCTCAGGAATGGCAGCAGGCAGGTGTGAGTGCATCTGCATGCACAGTGAGGCGAAGACTTTTGGAGGATGGCCTGGTGTCAAGAAGGGCAGCGAGAAAGCCACTTCTCTCCAGGAAAAACATCAGGGACAGACTGATATTCTGCAAAAGGTACAGGGATTGGATTGCTGAGGACTGGGGTAAAGTCATTTTCTCTGATGAATCCCCTTTCCGATTGTTTGGGGCCATCAGTCCTGTGTCATCCCAACAGTAAAGCATCCTGAGACCAATCATGTGTGGGGTTGCTTCTCAGCCAAGGGAGTGGGCTCACTCACAATTTTGCCTAAGAACACAGCCATGAATAAAGAATGGTACCAACACATCCTCTGAGAGCAACTTCTCCCAACCATCCAAGAACAGTTTGGTGACGACCAATGCCTTTTCCAGCATGATGGAGCACCTTGCCATAAGGCAAAGGTGATAACTAAGTGGCTCTGGGAACAAAACATTGAAATGTTGGGTCCATGGCCAGGAAACTCCCCAGACCTTAATCCCATTGAGAACTTGTGGTCAATCCTCAAGAGGCGGGTGGACAAACAAAAACCCACAGATTCTGACAAACTCCAAGCATTGATTATGCAAGAATGGGCTGCCATCAGTCAGGATGTGGCCCAGAAGTTAATTGACAGCATGCCAGGGAGGATTGCAGAGGTCTTGAAAAAGAAGGGTCAACACTGCAAATATTGACTCTTTGCATAAACTTAATGTAATTGTCAATAAAAGCCTTTGACACTTATGGAATGCTTGTAATTATACTTCAGTATACCATAGTAACATCTGACAAAAATATCTAAAAACGCTGAAGCAGCTAACTTTGTGAAGACCAATACTTGTGTCATTCTCAAAACTTTTGACGACTGTACATACATACAAAAGTATGTGGACACCCCTTCAAATTAGTGGATTCGGCTATTTCAGCCACACCTGTTGCTGACAGGTGTATAAAATTGAGCACACAGCCATGCAATCTCCATAGACAAACATTGTCAGTAGAATGGCTTTACTGAAGAGCTCAGTGACTTCCAATGTGGCACTGTCATAGGATGCCACCTTTCTATCAAGTCAGTTCGTCAAATTTCTGCCCTGCTGGAGCTGCCCCAGTCAACTGTAAGTGCTGTTATTGTGAAATGGAAACGTGTATGAGCAACAACTTCTCAGCCGCAAAGTGGGAGGCCACACAAGCTCACAGAACGGGATCGCCGAGTGCTGAAGCACGTATAAATCGTCTGTCCTCAGTTGCAACACTCACTACCGAGTTCCAAACTGCCTCTGGAAGCAACGTCAGCACAATAACTGTTCATCAGGAGCTTCATGAAATGGGTTTCCATGGCCGAGCAGCCGCACACAAGCCTAAAATCACCATGTTCAATGCCAAGCGTCGGATTGGACTCTGGAGCAGTGGAAAAGCGTTCTCTGGTGTGATGAATCACGTTTCACCATTTGGCAGTCCGACAGACGAATCTGGGTTTGACGGATGCCAGGAGAACGCTACCTGCTCGAATGCATAGTGCCAACTGTAAAGTTTGGTGGAGAAGGAATAATGGTCTGGGGCTGTTTTTCATGGTTCAAGCTAGGCCCCTTAGTTCCAGTGAAGGAAAATCTTAAAACTTTTAGTATACAATGACATTCTAGACGATTCTGTGCTTCCAACTTTGTGGCAAGTGTTTGGGGAAGGCCCTTTCCTGTTTCAGCATGACAATGCCCCCATGCACAAAGCGAGGTCCATTGAGAAATGGTTTATCGCGATCGGTGGGATGAATTGGAACACCGACTGCAAGCCAGGCCTAATCGCCCAACATCAGTGCCCGACCTCACTAATTCTCATGGCTGAATGGAAGCAAGTCCCCGCAGCGATGTTCCAACATCTAGTGGAAAGCCTTCCCAGAAGAGTGGAGGCTGTTATAGCAGCAAAGGGGGGACCAACTCCATATTAATGCCCATGATTTTGAAATGAGATGTTCGACGAGCAGGTGTCCACATACTTTTGGTCTTGTAGTGTATATACCATTAGGGGAGCCTTACTATAAATAAACCACTTGTTACCGCACGTTACCCTAATATGATGGTTTACATTGCTATATCAGCATGACTTGTCAGGTGCCTCTAGCTGGATGAATGCTAAATGTTTGAGTGTTTTTATAGCTGGTCTGTCTGGTTGTAGCTACGTTACTGCAGGTACACAGCAGAAGTGGACAAAGGGCAATGTTCTTTCTCCTAGTCCAGTGAACACTGGCAAGGCAAGCCTGAGCATGCAGACTTAATGAGATCAGTGAGGTGAGTCAGGCAGCCAGGAGCAAACATATGATATCATTCCACTCACATGGACCCAATCAGCGCCCTCACACATATCTGTGCTGCCAACCCTGACCATGCAACAGATAGTGGTACCAGTATAAGCAGTCTTTGGTTTACATCACAACAACTGTTTACAGACTGAAAGGTACATTTTTTGCTGTCAATTTCAGCGGTTGCCTTGGATACATGACGCATCTCTGGGCCTTTCCTTGTAACCATGGAGCTGGGAGTTGACAGGGCCTTCCCAGTCTCTCCGATGATGTCCAAGGGCTGCAGTGGGCGACGGAAGACCCAGATTCCAGAGTTTATCCAGAGTGGGACAGGCACAACAACAACCCAACATTCCAAAGACAAAGACGAGGAGAGGAGGACATGGGACACGGGTGGTTCCAGGAAGAATTTTACCATGGCACCCACCTCCAGGTATATGAGTGATAGGAGACAGTACTCTATGAGGAAACCTCTGGTCACCACCACAGAGCAGCAGACCTCCATCCTAAAGAATTCATACCTACAGGAGCACCCAAAAAACGTGAGCTAGGCGTGTATATGCTTTGTAACAAATGCATTGACTGCTACAATTGTATGACTTCTGAGAAGTATAAAGAACACGTTAGATTGATTACCTTTGACTTAATTTTTTTGCTTTGAAACAAATTATACTTCTACTGTACAAATAACAACAATGAACACCACATTGTATGTTAGCTGTACCTAATGTCCTACTCCTACTCTATCCCTCACCATAGGAGCGACTGTGGGAAGGTAGCAGTAATGAAGCAGACCATCATAGAGCGTTTGACTTCCAGACTAGACGGGCTGAACAGGAGTCCCCAGACAACCTCAACCCCTCTCAGGCTGACATCTCACCCTGCTCAGCCTCCAAAGAGGACCTCAACACCTCCCTGGGGGTGTCTGATCTCAGGATATGGCTGTCACACGAAGAACCCACCTTCAACTCATTACACCTGGGCAGCAGGCCCGGCCGACGTAGCCTCTCCAGCCCACCCCTGGAGGTCCATAGCTTCTCTACTCCACAAAGACCCAAGTGGACCTCCACTCTGCTATCCTCCCTCTCGCCTTCCTACATCCCCCCTTTGCGCCCCTCCAGACAGAGATGGACAGAGCTGAGAGTGGTTGCAGGGGAAGTTTATCAATCACGTGAAGGAGGAGGGGAAACCTATCTAAACGTAGGCCCTTCAGTGGGCTACTCCAAGGGCCGCTCCAACCCTGTGCTCCACACCATGTCCCCCCACCAGGCCAACTACTGGCCCTGCGCCATTACCAGCTCCCTACCCCCCTCCCCAGACCGACACTCTTCGAGCTGGGACCCTGATAAGGAGTACCAGGCCCTCCTGGACTACACCTACCCCCTGAGGCCAGGTAGGGTGGTGGGTGGGTGGGATACCTCAGAGCTCGGGGGTGGGTCTCTCATCCAGACAGACCCAGGCCTCCAGGATTCAGGGATAAAACTGGACCGCCTCTGCAGCTCCACCAGCCTATCAGCTTTGGACTTTTCCCTAAGTGTCACGGCAGGGGTGGGCACTAGTAGGGCCGGGGAGAGTGGGATGCTGGGTATAGGTCAGAGGTCATCTGAGCTGCGTGGGTTCTCACACTCCAAGTCCTCTGATGGTCGCCTCTCCAGTAGCCACTTCTCCTTTGCGGACCCTATTGGTCTATCCGTGGAGAGTCTGGACTGTAGTGGAGGTGGTAGTGGTCTGAACCATTCGCATCGTAGTGGGGAAGGTCACTACCGCCAACATGGCAGCTCCTCCTCCTCTTCCACCACGTTCATCCGCACAACCAGTATCCTTCCCCGGCCAGGGTACCTCGGAGTGTGGGATTGGGACGAGGAGTTCTGGCCTCTCCCGGAGCAGTTGGAGGAGCTCCAGGGTTTGTCCCGGCAGGTCAGGGAGGTGACGGCCCAACTCAGCCAGCCTGTCACAGACTACTGGGACTCCCTGGAGAGGGGGAACACCTCCGTCCAGTCCTCTATGACCCTGGCAGAGAAACAGGAGGCAGAGGAGGAGAGAAAAGAACAGGAGCAGAATGAGGAGGAAGAAAGGGAGGACGAGAAGGAGAAAGAGGAAGTGTCCATTTCTGAAGCACTTCAATACATCAATAAAGGTATGTGTTGGTGGCAGCATTTCAGTAGGCTCTATTATTCTATGGTATTTTATAGTATTTGTAATATTTTTCAACTTAGCATGTTTGACTTCAAACACTTTTCGTCTCTGAAGCGGTCCATAGTGGGGAGTCCTCCCAGGCAGCCAGAGGCTCTGGTCCTAGGATGAAGGCTGGGGTAGTAGGTAGGGGAGTGAGAAGGGCCATTCTGAGGGAGAAGGTGGGCATGGTGGACCAGCTGAGTGGACTAACCCTGCCTGAGTTCCAGACGTGGAGCCAGGGGGAGCAGGAGAACAGGGGGTCCCTCATGCAGCACATCCAGGTTAGGACAGAGAGCTAAGATGATCACTATATTTTGTGCAATATAATGACAAGCATATGCCACTGCCACCAATACAATGTAGCATAATGCAATATGATACAGAACACAATGAAATACAATACACATTACACAATCTATGCAAGGTGTTGATAATGGTATATTGCATAATACATGTACAGTACATAGGTCTCATCTCTCTTAAAGGTGCTACACACAGGATAAAAAATAAATAATGACATTGTCATTTCTGAAAATGTCCATAATACATTGAGTGTACAAAACATTAGGAACACCTTCCTAATATTGAGTTGCATACCGTTTTTTTGCTCTCAGAACAGCCTCAAATTGTCAGGGCATGGACTCTACAAGGTGTCGAAAGCGTTCCACAGTTGGCTGGATTTCCTTTAGGTGGTGGACCATTCTTGATACACACGGGAAACAGTTGAGCATGAAAAACCCAGCAGTGTTGCAGTTCTTGACACAAACCGGTGCGCCTGGCATCTATTACCATACCCCATTCAAAGGCACTTCAATCTTTTGTCTTGCCCATTCACCCTCTGAATGGTAACACATACACAATCCATGTCTCAATTGTCTCCAGGCTTAAAAGTATTTATTTAACCTGTCTTCTCCCCTTCATCTACACTGATTGAAGTGGATTTAACAGGTGACATCAATAAGGGATCATAGCTTTCACCTGGATTCACCTCGTCAGTCTATGTCATGAAAAGAGCAGATGTTCCTATTGTTTTGTACACTCAGTGTATATCTGGCGCTAATAGTGGAATGATGGTGTTTCACAGTATTACTTAGCCGGCAGTGTTGTGATATTTGCTCAAATTCTACACTGTTCACTCAATTTCAGTTTATGTGAGAATAATGCGGGGGGCCAGTATAAAAAAAATATGTATTCACTAACTGTAAGTCGCTCTGGATAAGAGCGTCTGCTAAATGACTAAAATGTAAATGTAAATATTTATGTGAGAAAACAAGCATTGAATATTGTAGGGAATCATTGTACCATCTAAATCGCTTTCAATAAGAACAAATATTCTTACTTTCGGTTTTGGTCCACCAGCTTCAAACAGCGGTTTGATCCACCAGCTTCAAACAGCTGTAAAAACTATATTTTTTTATATTGAAAATATATTTCACAGCGATTTAGATGGTACAATGATTCCCTACATTATTCAGTGCTTGTTTTCTCACATAAATATTTACATTTACATTTTAGTCATTTAGCAGACGCTCTTATCCAGAGCGACTTACAGTTAGTGAATACATATTTTTTTTATACTGGCCCCCCGTGGGAATCGAACCCACAACCCTGGCGTTGCAAACGCCATGCTCTATCAACTGAGCTACATCCCTGCCGGCCATTCCCTCCCCTACCCTGGACAACGCTGGGCCAATTGTGCGCCGCCCATGAGTCTCCCGGTCACGGCCGGCTGCGACAGAGCCTGGATTCGAACCAGGATCTCTAGTGGCACAGTTAGCACTGCGATGCAGTGCCTTAGACCACTGCGCCACTCAGGAGCTAAACTGGAACATAAACTGAAGCACAGCCACAAAGTCAGAACAGCTTTCCTATTTTGACAACAGATGCCGCTCCGGCGGGAGAAATCAATAGGCAAATATCACAGCCAATCACAACACTGGCGGGTAAGTAATACTGTGAAACATTATCATTCCACTATTACTGCAGATATATTATCGACATTTTCTGAAATTACAATGTAAAAATTAAACAACAAAAAAGTCCTATGTGTAGCACCTTTAAATACTACTAAATCCAAATCCACGAACAAGCTGTTGTGGGGCAATTTGATATTAATTCTGCGACTTACGACCTGTTTACCAATCAGACCTTCTGTTTTAACCTGGAGGAGCTCATCCAATGGCTGTACACGGTGGTGGAGAGGATGGAGGTGCTGGCTCCGCCCACTGTGGACATCAAGAGTGTCAAGTCATCTCTGGCGGATTATAAGGTCAGTGGTGCACATACACAGATCCTTTAAATTATCATATAAATCAATTCTATATGTAATTCTATTGGTGTACACTACACATCCTCTCGGCTTTGGGAGAATGGAAAGTGCCTTATTATTAATCAACCCTCTCTGCCCCCTTCTCCATTTTGTTTCTGTCTCTCTCTCTCTTAATATCTCTATATGCCTCTCTCCCTCTGTTCTTCCCTTTGTCTTCTTCACCCCATCTCTCTCTCTCCTTCCCCCTCCCTTTCTCCCTCCACAGAGGTTTCAGAGAGAAGTAAACGCCCACCAGCCCCTGACCACCTCTGTTCTGCAAACTGGAGAGCTTCTCCTGGGTTGTTTGACCTCCATTTCTCCCGGTGACCCTTCCATCACTGACAAGTTGCTCTTTGCCTACAGCTACTTCATTTGTATCTACTGTATCTCAGGTGTCACCCACCCTTGATAATCAGAACAGGTTTATAAATTATGCTGCCTTCACACAGGAATGACCCTGTTCTCAATTCAAGCGGATCAGCCTGTCAGACCAGACTTCTTCTTAGTAAAGGATATGGAAGTGTTTTACTGGAAGAAGACAATGACCACCCTACACTATTTCCTTTTGTGAATTCTAAAATACACTTGTGCTCCTTTACTAATGGAAGAGTAAAATGAATTGCGTGACACAGCAACAACATCTGAGACTGTTGAAGTAGGCACTGCCTGTGTTTTAAAGGGCTCCAAATTACATTGCATGATTAGTTTACGTGTTTGTGTGAAGGCTACCTTGGTCCTCTGTAGCTCAATTGGTAGAGCATGGCGCTTGTAACGCCAGGGTAGTGGGTTCGATCCCCGGGACCACCCATACGTAAAAATGTATGCACACATGATTGTAAGTCGCTTTGGATAAAAGCGTCTGCTAAATGGCAATATTATTATTATTATTATTATCAAAGGGTAGAATTTATTGTCTGCTAACAGTGATGAGCTTGTCTATTTGTTTCAGGTCTCATATAGGTCAGTTCAACAGCTAACACTGGTATACTGTAGATTTGTTCTGGCGGTCAGGGGAATTCTATACTCACAGTCCTCCCCTCTGACAGAAACAGGAAACACTGTGTGAGGAGAATGCGGCCATGCATGCATGACTAAGAGTGTTGGGGCTCTGTTTTTTTCTCTTTCTCTTATTCCAAATGCTCTTATTCCAAACATGAAGGAAACTTCAAATCAAATTGTATGTGTCACATGCGCCGAATACAACAGGTGTAGAACTTACAGTGAAATGCTTACTTTCAAGCCCTTAACCAACAATGTAGTTTTAAGAAAAATAAGTGTTAAGTAAAAAATAGATAAGTAAAAAATTAAAAACTAATAATTAAAGAGCAGCAGTAAAAGAAAATAACAGTAGGGAGGCTATTATGCAGGGGGTACCGGTACAGAGTCAATGAGCGGGGGCACAGGTTAGTCAAGGAAATTGAGGTAATATGTACATTTCCAGTCAAAAGTTTAGACACACCTACTCAGTCAAGGGTTTTCTTTCTTTATTTTTTTACTATTTTTTACATTGTAGAATAATAGTGAAGACATCAAAACTACGAAATAACACATATGGAATCCTGTAGTAACCAAAAAAGTTAGCCACCCTTTGCCTTGATGACAGCTTTGCACACTCTTGGCATTATCTCAACCAGCTTCATGAGGTTGTCACCTGGAATGCATTTCAAATAACAGGTGTGCCTTATTAAAAGTTAATTTGTGTAATTTATTTCCTTCTTAATGAGTTTGAGCCAATCAGTTGTGTTGTGACAAGGTAGGGGGGATATGCAGAAGATAGCCCTATTTGGTAAAAGACCAAGTCCATACTATGGCAAGAACAGCTCAACTAAGCAAAGAGAAACGACAGTCCATCATTATTTTAAGACATGAAGGTCAGTCAATACGGAAAATGTCAAGAACTTTGAAAGTTTCTTCAAGTGCAGTCACAAAAACCATCAAGCGCTATCATGAAACTGGCTCTCATGAGGACTGCCACAGGAATGGAAGACCCAGATTTACCTCTGCTGCAGAGGATAAGTTCATTAGAGTTACCAGCCTCAGAAATTGCAGCCCAAATAAATGCTTCACAGAATTCAAGTCACAGACACATCTCAACATCAACTGTTCAGAGGGGACTGTGTGAATCAGGCCTTCATGGTCGAATTGCTGCAAAGAAACCACTACTAAAGGACACCGATAAGAAGAAGAGACCTGCTTGGGCCAAGAAACACAGAAATGTGTCCTTTGGTCTGGAGTCCAAATTGGAGATTTTTGGTTCCAACCACTGTGTCTTTGTGAGACACGGTGTGGGTGAACGGATGATCTCAGAGTGTGTAGTTGCCACCATAAAGCATGGAGGAGGAGGTGTTATGGTGTGGGTGTGCTTTGCTGGTGACACTGTCTGTGATTTATTTAGAATTCAAGGCATTCTGCAGCGATACGCCATCCCATCTGGTTTGGGCTAAGTGGGACTATCATTTGTTTTTCAACAGGACAATGACCCAAATGCCAAGAGTGTGCAAAGCTGTCATAAAGGCAAAGGGTGGCTATTTGAAGAATCTCAAATATAAAATATATTTTGATTTGTTTAACACTTTTTTGGTTACTACATGATTCCATATGTGTTATTTCATAGTTTTGATGTCTTCACTATTATTCTACAATGTAGAAAATAGTAAAAATAAACCCTTGAATGAGTAGGTGTGTCTAAACTTTTGACTGGTACTGTATATGTAGGTAGAGTTAAAGTGACTATGCATAGATAATAAACAGAGAGTAGCAGCAGCGTAAAAGAGGGGGTGGGTGGGGGACAATGCAAATACTCCGGGTAGCCTTGGTGAGTTGAATGTGAAATGTACCACTAAAGTTTCCCATTTCTCTTCTGTTTTCTATGCTAATCTCTATAATACTCTCTCTTCTCTCTTCCCCCGTCTCTCCCCCCCTCTCTCTCTTCCTCTTCTTATGTCCCCCAGTTCTGAAAGAGACCCTCTGTCTTATTGAGAGGCAGTCCAGGGTGCTGGAGACCCACTCAGAGCACCTCTTCTCTTCTTTTCTCTCAGCCATGGACAGCCTGACCCAGCCCGGGGAGCCCAGTGGGGGAGAGGAGACCCAGGCAGGGGACTCCGACAGGGTGGAGGTCCAGGGGACAGCTCAGTGAAGGCTCCATTCAATGTATGGATAGTATGTTTCTACGGTTATGTAGAGATAAGGATATGATTACTCTATGACGTGTTTTATTATTTGTCATCATAAGAAGTCGTTTGTCTCCTTTTCTCTTTCAGTAAAGAAGAATGAGAGCGGATTGGTGGAGCAGGCTTGATGAGGGGGAGGAGCTTCTTCACTTTGACATGCCTTAAAGGATTGGTTCACAGTTTGTTTGACCAAATGTCTATTTTTCTATGTCAATGGCATGTTATAGAAGGGTCCAGACACTTTTTTTGCGATTTCACTTGGTTTTGAGAAACGTAGACCACCCGCAATAGACTTCCTCATTGCTTGTTCTGGAGTATGGGGTCTATGGAAAAACATTAACAAAGGCTGGTAGGGGAAACTGCTCGAGTCGCACAAAATGGAAAAATCTAATGTTGCGGATAAAGTTCGGAATTACACAACTTCATGTGTACAACATCTAATGACCTGTATCACTAAAATGACGTATTTGGGTGTTTTTGGAGCCTTTGTTTTGTATTTTACCGTAGCCCCCCCAGTTTAATGGTTGTGATATGAGAAAACTGAGGATGGATCAACAACATTGTAGTTACTCCACAATACTAACCTAAATGAAAGAGTGAAAAAAAGGAAGCCTGTACAGAATACAAATATTCCAAAACATGCATCCTGTTTGCAACAAGGCACTTAAGTAATACTGCAAAAAATGTGGCAAAGAAATGACTTTTTTGTCCTGAATACAAAGCGTTATGTTTGGGGCAAATCCAACACATCACTGAGTACCACTCTTCTTATTTTGCTTGTCATCGGCAAGGACCAGGGATATTTTTAAGATAAAAACAAACGGAATACAGCTAAATACAGGCAAAATCCTGGAAAACCTGGTTCAGTGTGCCTTCCAACAGACAATGTCGATTCGCCTTTCAGCAGGACAATAACCTAAAACACAAGGCGAAATCTACACTGGAGTTGCATACAAAGACGACATTGAATGTTTCTGAGTGGCCTAGTTACAGTTTTGACTTAAATCGGCTTGAAAATCTATGGCAAGACTTGAAAATGGCTTTCTATACTGAACAAAAATATAAACGCAACATGCAACAATTTCAAAGATTTTACTGAGGATCTAAGGAAATCATCAGATTGAAATAAATTAATTAGGGCCTAATCTATGGATTTCACATGACTGGGAATACAAAATATGCATTTGTTGGTCACAGATACCTTTAAAAAAAGCTGTTGATTGTGGCCTGTGGAATGTTGTCTCACTCTTCAATGGCTGTACGAAGTTGCTGGATACTAGCGGGAACTGAAACACGCTGCGTACACGTCGATCCAAAGCATCCCAAACGTGCTCAATGAGTGACATGTCTGGTGAGTATGCAGGCCATGGAAGAACTGGGACATTTTCAGCTTCCAGGAATTGTGTATAGTTCCTTGCGACTAGGGGCCGTGCATTATCATGCTGAAACATGAGTTGATGGTGGCGGATGAATGGCACGACAATGGGCCTCAGGATCTCGTCACGGAATCTATGTGCATTCAAATTACCATCTATAAAAAATGCAATTGTGTTCGTTGTCCGTAGCTTAAGCCTGCCCATACCATAACCCCACCGCCACCATGGGGCACTCTGTTCACAACGTTGACATCAGCAAACCACTTGCCCACACGACGCCATACATGTGGTCTGCGGTTGTGAGGCCGTTTGGATGTTCTGCCAAATTCTCTAAAACGACGTTGTAGGCGACTCATTGTAGAGAAATGAACATTAAATTCTCTGGCAACAGCTCTGGTGGACATTCCTGCAGTCAGCATGCCAATTGCATGCTCCCTCAAAACTTGAGACATCTGTGGCATTGTGTTGTGTCTATGGAACATTTCTGGGATCTTTTATTTCAGTTCATGAAACAAGGGACCAACACTTTACATGTTGTGTTTATATTTTTGTTCAGTGTAGCAATTATCAACAACCAACTTGACAGAGCTTGAAGAATTTTAAAAATGATAATGGGCAAATATTGTACAATCCAGGTGTGCAAAACTCGTAGAGACTTACCCAAAAAGACTCAGCTGTAATCGCTGCTGTATTGTCTCGGGGGTGAATACTTATCTAATCAAGATACACTACATGACCAAAGTATGTGGACACCTGCTCGTCGAACCTCTCATTCCAAAATCATGGGCATTAATATGGAGTTGGTCCCCCCTTTGCTGCTATAACAGCCTCCATTCTTCTGGGAAGGCTTTCCGCTAGATGTTGGAACAATACTGCAGGGAATTGCTTCCATTCAGCCACAAGAGCATTAGTGAGGTCAGGCACTGATGTTGGGCAATTAGGCCTGGCTCGCAGTCGGCGTTCCAAGTCATCCAAAAGGTGTTCGATGGGGTTGAGGTCAGGGCTTTGTGCAGGCCAGTCAAGTTCTTCCACACCGATCTCGACAAACCATTTCTGTATTGAGCACTGGGGCGTTGTTATGCTGGAACAGGAAAGGGCCTTCTCCAAAATGTTGCCACAAAGTTGGAAGCACAGAATCGTCTAGAATGTCATTGTACGCTGTAGCGTTAAGATTTCCCTTCACTGGAACTAAGGGTCCTAGTCCAAACCATGAAAAAAAGCCCCAGACCATTATTTCTCTTCCACCAAACTTTACAGTTGGTAGTATGCATTCGGGCAGGTAGCGTTCTCCTGGCATCCGCCAAAGCCAGATTCGTCCATCGGTCTGCCAGATGGTGAAGCGTTATTCATCACTCCGGAGAATGCGTTTCCACTGCTCCAGAGTCCAATGGCGGTGAGCTTTACACCACTCAAGCCGACGCTTGGCAATGCACATGGTGATCTTAGGCATGTGTGCGACTGCTCAGCCGTGGAAACCCATTTCATGAAGCTCCCGACGAACAGTTGTTGTGCTGACGTTGCTTCCAGAGGCATTTTGGAACTCGGTAGTGAGTGTTGCAACCGAGGACAGACAATTTATACATGCTTCAGCACTCAGCGGTCCCGTTCTGTGAGCTTCTGTGGCCTACCACTTCACGGCTGAGCCGGTGTTGCTCCTAGACGTTTCCACTTCACAATAACAGCACTTACAGTTGACCGGGGCAGCTCTAGCAGGGCAGATATTTGACGAACTGACTTGTCGATTTTATATACCTGTCAGCCACGAATGTGGCTGAAATAGCAGAATCCACTAATTTGAAGGGGTGTCCACATACTTTTGTATATGTAGTGTATATTAGCGTTTTATTTTTCATATTTCTTATAATAAATGTTAGAATTTTTCTTACACTTTTAGTATTTTGTGTAGATCGTTGACCAAAAATGACAATTAAATCCATTTTAATCCCACTTTGTAACACAACAAAACGCGGAAAAAGTCAAGGGGTGTGAATACTTTCTGAAGGCAGTGTATGCATGACGTGTGCTGAAGAAGCTAAGTATTGTGATATGCTCAAGCAGATGTCTAATAATTTATTTGAGTTAGATATTAATAACGACCCAATGCACTACTCACTCTACAACATGCATGACAGCATTTTTAACCCATTTTTATATCACTGTGGATTGTCTCAGGTTGTGTCCTCACCTGTCTCTGGTACAATGTTCAGACTTCCTCCCGGAGGGAAGGTCTGCACTTGTACAGTGTTGTTGTATATTAGAACGTGGCATGCACTACACATCATTGTAGACTTGTAATATAGGATGTTGGACCATTCAGTGGCCTTATGGCGGCAGGTTGCCTAGCAGTTAGCGCTTGGGCCAGAACATGGAAAACCTGATGAAAAGTGCATTAAGACATACAATACCTGTACCTAAAGCCTCTAAATGTGCAACAAGTTTTTTACCAGTGTCTGTTACTGTAGTAATCTATTGTGAATGTTATGAGGGTAATGTGCACTTCAAATTAGGACTTTTAAACGCCATGGAAAACTTTGTTCTTCCCACTATTGTAATCCTCATTCACAGAATAAACCTGGTGAAAACTACACTACTTATTCCTACTGAGTAAACCTCATACTGTATGGCCACTTGATTTTATGTATAATCAGTATAGAACTCAAGTGTAATAATTAGAATGTGTCTGAATTTAACAGTTGGTGTACTGGTTGAACTCATGAGAATGGGATACATGGGAATTCTGTTCTGACCTTCTGTAGTCTGACTTTACCACAGAATGCTATCTGGACATACAACAGACCACTGTACTATAGCACAAATCTATCTAGACACACTTATCCCTATAGCAAACACACAAACTAAGTAAACAGTGCTAGAGAAATGGTTACAGAGTTCTTTTAAAACTGTATTCAGTTGCCTTTATTATGAAAAAAGAACATAGTGTTTTATATATGCAATTCTGTACTGAGATATTCCACAGGTAATGGCCAATTTGCATACAGATCCTAGTTACTGGTACAACATATTTGCCATATAAATGTAGAATAAATTATTAAAAACACAAAATGTTCCTACACAGCCACCAAGAATCGCAGACAGATCTTTCCGTATCATACAGTCTGGAAGTACAACATTTATTTATTTTTCAGTTTAAATGTGACATGTTGAGACAAATTTAATGCAGAGATTAAGTCAAGACTACTACGATAATGTATTGAAGTCTACAGAACTAGCAAATCAGATCTTACATATATATACACACATCATGTATATGTACATATTTTTCACTATACTTTTTTGCGAGACAGTGAGACACTGTTGTGCAGTTGGCTGACACGCATATTGGCGAAGAAACTACATTTGCCGATACAAACAGCAAAATAACCAACCAGAAAAGAAAAGCGGGGGACAGAAGAACAGAAAACATCATTGAATTTGACTACAGACCAACCCTGCAGTAGGAATGCAGTGAGATAGACACGCACACATTATTCTCATTAACCTTCACACAGAGGAGGGTGGGGGGGGGGGGGGGGGGGGGGGGGGGGGGCAAGTGAAATCCGTTGTTTCTGATGAGGTCCGGGTAAGGGTGGGGAGGGGTAAAGCCACTCCAGGAGGGGGCCAGGGGAGGTCCAGTGAGCGGCTGACCATCTGACTGCTAACAGATTGCCTAGAAAGTACTACTAATCATCAATTACCAGGGCATAAAGGGAGGGTGATAACCATTAATTTTTGTTGGTAGTGCGGCTACAGTACAAATTCAGGCAACTTCAATTTTGTTTTTGCTCTTACTTTCTATCACACTCGCACTCAGTTACTGTTAAGATGGGTGGGTAGGGCATGGTGGAGAATGGGGCCAGGTGGAGGGGGGGGGGGGGGGGGGGGGGGTGACAGGCCAGAGGGGGGTGGTTGAGGTGTTGGTGGGGTTCTCCCTCTCAGCAGCAGCCCCCCGAGGCAGGTTTGACAGGCGTACTCTGGATCTTGACATTGGACTTCTCGTTGCCGCCGGTCGTAGCCCCAGGGCCCATCCTCTTCTTGATCTCAGCAGCCATGGTCATGAAGGCCTGCTCTACATTGGTGGCATTCTTGGCACTCGTTTCCAAGAATGGGATGCCCAGGGAGTCCGCAAACTCCTGCAGCGAAAGGAATGGAGAGAGGAGGTTAGAGGAGATGCTGCATTCATGACAGTACTGTACACTATTACTGCTACTATTTTACTACTGGGTTGCAGACAAAGACCTGATTGTGTCCAGAAACATTTGGTTTGTTTGGGGGCCTCAACAAAATAAAAATGTGAAAGTTTGGAAACCACAGCTCTAGACTATTTTTTCAAAGAGTTAAATGGAAAAATGCATTACTCCTGCGCCATCTGATAACCCATTGTCTTTGTTGGAAGCCCTTACCTTTGCTGTTGTGTAATCCACCACTTTCTTTGTTGTCAGGTCACACTTGTTCCCCACCAATAGCTTGTTGACATTTTCACTGGCGTAGCGGTCGATTTCCTGTAGCCACTGCTTGACATTGTTGAAGGACTCCTAGAAGAAGAAAGATAATCAAAACCAACATGTCAGGGTAGGCAAGATATTTGCAAAGTAAGGCCTCTATTCAATCAGATCCGCTTTAACCGACATCCGCATAGCGGTTGTTTTGGCGGTGTCGGAGGTGGAAATGCGTTAGAGCTTTCAAGTCCACAAGCGGCACCTGGCATTATACCTAAAGCGGACATTGGCTGCATAGTGTCGCATTACAAGAAACCCCATGCAGCCATGTTTACAAGTTTGAACAATGGAACGTGTGATGTAATCTACACCTCGATTAGGCTGATAGAAATCCTCATTATTTTGTTTAATGATTTTCTATTTGAGCGTCATTATTTCTATATAGCCTACACTTTCTTGTTCTGAACTTCTAATGTGAGTGGGACAGATGTGGCTTCGTGACAATGATCAAGAGCAGCTGCCCACCGATTTGACAGCTCCAACGCAGTTACACCTTCGACACCGCGAAAACATCAGCTATGCGGGGTTCGGCTATCACCGGTTAATGCTCGATCTGATTGAATCTAGGCCTTAGGTTCACCTGCACTCCTGACTTTCAATTAAAAACATCTAATTGTGGAAAAGAATCTAGAAAACCCAAACACAGTGAAAAGGTAAAGATGGACTGTGCTAAAGAGGCAGACTGACCTGGTCTGTGACGTCATAGACTACGATGATGCCGTGGGCTCCTCTGTAGTAGCTGGATGTGATTGTGCGAAACCTCTCCTGCCCTGCCGTGTCCCACTGTCAGTGTCAACACACAGCAGAGACGCTCAGTCACAAATACGGGAAGGCCAAACACACACATACATGAGTACAACATCTCTGCCAAATAGATGCTGCTTCATAGCACATTCAACTGTGACAAATAAGACCAAAACACACAAATGAGAGAAGGGCATTTCTAACTGATAATTCACCATTTTGTAGTCAACCATGATAGGAGGCCTCTGCCTTGGGATATTTGGTGAAGAGTCTAGAGTTAGGTTTTGGAATGCCTACAATGGCATTTTTTTGGTCCAAATGTGGCCAGATGCTGAAATACATACTTGTTAGGTCCTTGTTAGTATAACTTGGAGCTTCCCTTTACACAGTAGAAGACAAAGAGATGTGGCGGGGAAAGCACTTACGATTTGAAGTTTAATGGTCTTTCCGTCTAATTCTATAGTTCGTATTTTGAAGTCCACTCCGATTGTGCTAATGTAGCTTTCTGTGTACGTGTCATCCTGGGGAGAAAGGAAATGAGAGGAGTTGGTGTGGGAACATTCAGACATCCTGCTCAAAGTACAAATCCTTAACCCTTTCATACATTCTCAGTCTAGAGAAAAAAGGAATGAAAAGTATGATCATTCACCGCAATAGGAGAGTAAACGAGAGAATGTTGACTTAACATGGAGTATTAATACTATAATACAGTATTAATATTAATTTGAATACTATTTCTATGATTGACTTGACCTTTTTTACATTACAGGGCAGCCAGTTCTTACCTGCTGAATTTAGTCCAAGCAGAGCACTAATAATTACATCATTATTATCATTATTATCATTATTAATAATAATAATAATAGGACTATAATTATTAATGTTAATATGACTGGGTCAGCCTATTGAACAGCTAATGAGTGATTACGAGCACGTTATGAATGGCTATGAGACACTTCTGGGACATGGACGGATCAGCAGGACACTTACTGCAAATCGGAGTAGAAGACAAGACTTTCCGACGCCAGAGTCACCGATCAGGAGCAGCTTGAATAAATAGTCACTGTGGAGAGAAGAGAGATGTTTTAAACAACAGGATTCCAGGTTTCCCACACAGTTTCAACAAAAGTAGCTATAAAACGCTAGCCTTGTTAGAAACCATTGGAAGCTCGACTCTAAACTCTGTAGACAGCATTCCTCAGAACAGTTTCTTCCCTTTTCACCATCTCTCAAGAAGAGATTTCATTGTGGTGTTGCGTCAGACAATTCAAAGATGCCATTGCTGTTACATTGCTTTCAGTGCCTTGGGCAAGATACCGTGTTGGGTTAACTCCTCCCGAGTGGCGCAGTGGTCTAAGGCAGTGCTAGCTGTGGCACTAGAGATCCTGGTTCGAATCCAGGCTCTGTCGTAGCCGGCCACGACCGGGAGACCCGTGGGGCGGCGCACAATTGGCCCAGCGTCGTCCAGGGTAGGGGAGGGAATGGCCGGCAGGGATGTAGCTCAGTTGGTAGAGCATGGCATTTGCAACGCCAGGGTTGTGGGTTCGATTCCAGTATAAAAAATAAAAATGTATGCACTCACTAACTGTAAGTCGCTCTGGATAAGAGCGTCTGCTAAATGACGTAAATGTAAATGTAAATGTTAACTCTCAGCAGAACTACTTTGGTCACACCACCATACAATCAAAAGAGAGGATAAGTCTGATGTGTTATGATGCTTGCCTAATGCCTAGAAAGGTATTTCACGACAATCACACACAAGTTGAAACCAGACTAATTCAAGCCTGAGTCCAAACACAAAGAGATGCAATCCTGCATTATTTTTGGTACAGAAAAGTAGCGATTTCAGCTGACATCTACTGTCTGCGATTGCAGCAGACAGTGAAACATTGGGTTTTACAGGCAAATGAAACCTCACACTGCTATGACCATACGGAGCTGTGCATGATCAGCAAAACCACATAAGGAACTAAATATCAGTGGAGGAGGTCAACGGTTCAGTGCTCATGTGATACACGCTCAGACAATGGAATTTTAAAGAGGTAAAGTCTGCACTGACCAACTCAGTAGGCCTATGCTCGACTTTACTAAGAAGCCTTCTTTAATTGAGCTCAGACAATTCTGTGGCAACTCTCCCTTCAGATATGATGTCATATCAGCCTGATTCATGTTTAGTGAATAGTGAGCAGTTGTTGAGTTTGCCAAAGCTCTCTGTAGTTCATCAGCTCAGGTTTCAGAGTGCTGCTAACCTTGATCAGGTGTGAGACAGACAAAACACGCAGACACACACACACTCATACATACATAGCCTACATAACCGCACAAACAGAGCCTACATAACCGCACAAACAGAGACACAGTCAGACACACGTACGTACATGCACACTGGGTGGAATGAGGCAGGGTACCTCTGCAGCAACTCACAGTGAGGAGGAAAAGGTGAGGGCTGAGGTGTGAACTTAAGACTGAGTTGACATGGTGCTGTGAGTTGTGAGCTCGGGTGATGGTCACCAATACCACTAATATCAATGTGTGACAGATAGTTGTAGCCTTAATGATAGTGTTCTTAGATTCAAATTGGACATCTTATCAAATAGGCTTTTACAGCGTAACAGTGTAGCAACCGCGTATGAGCTTGCCAAACACTGATCTTGAAACGATAGGTCTAACACTAAAACACCATTCCTTGCTCCACTGATGCTTGCTAAAATACACCAAGTCATGCTATGCTCATTTATATGAGCTGAAACCACAGCAGGATGGATAATGCGACAACAAAATGCTGAGCATTAACAGTCCATACATCCTGTCCCACTCCCAACCATGTGAATTAGGCTATGCTGATAATGCTTCCCTATCAAAATAGGTCAGACCAGCAAAAGACAAACCTCTAGCAAACTATACAGCTATTGTCCACTCATGTTCAGCTCTAACCGAGGCCTACACACACACAGAGCTCTCTCAACCCCCTCCACTCGGTATGCTGTGTTTATTTAACAGGGGCATGTGCTGTGCAGTGTGCCATACAACTAGGCTACACACAGAAAGGTACGGAAACTCCAGTAAGCTGATTAAGCATTCCACAGTAGAGGGGAATTCAGCTGGACTTCAGATCGGACCCTCCTCCACTCTCTCCAGTAGTACAGTTAAAAGAAGGCAGGCAGACAGGCTGGAAAGAACCTGGGCGACGCTCTAGTCTGACCCAGCACCAAGGCTAAGAACCTCTGAGGCAGGCCTGTTTCCTGCCTCCCTGTCCTTTTCCTCACCCATTGTTATGAATTACAGTCATGCAGTCTTCATTAAGCAGATGGTTGAGGACAACAATGACAGCCCCTGTGAAAGGCTAGTAGTACCGCTGACTGGTCATGCAAGAGAGAGGGGGAATAGCCTACAGCAAAAACCTGTCCGCCCCACTCTATCACAGTCAGCGTTTTAAGTTGGATTGGATGATACTTTGTATGCTGCAAAGACAGACACACCAAACACGATACCGCCCACCATTATTTGACTCCCACATCAGCTGCTCAGCTCCAGCAGACAGGAGATGGGCTAGAGCTTGGGTTAGAGTTAGGCAAAAGATAATGAAAGCAAGCGCTCTGCAAAAAACACACTAGGGCTGGGAATTGCCAGGGACCTGATGATACGATATTATCACAATACTTAAGTACCGATACGGTATGTATTGCGATTCAAACTTTCACTCAAATAGAAGAGAAGTGCAACTGAAACATAAAATGTATCTGATGCCGAGCAGAAATTACAAAAATAAGCATTTTAGATCTGCATTTACAAAACGCAGTAAGGTATTTCTTATGCGTTTTATCTATTTTTCTGTGTGAAAAACTCAGAATTCTGCATTAACGAGACCCCTGTCATCTCAATACCAAATCATTTCTGGGTAACAAATAAGTACCTTACCGTGACTGTTTTCAATAAAAATGGTTAAAAAAATTTAAAAAAATAGTTTCTTAGCAAAGTTCAATTTCTCAAGCAAGAATTTTGCTAGGACTGTTTAGGATTGGTCTGAGCGGGGAGGGGAAAAATTAGCTGAGAAAGAGGTTTGGAACTCTTTCTCATTTGTTTATTAACTAATTTACCGCAAGGCCAAAAGTCCATCCCACCAAACAGACTGAAATTTCAGGCAGTCTTTTCAAACAGCTCTTACACTGAAAGGTAATCAATTTACATGATTTTTTAAAACATTTTAGTCAATTAGCAGACGCTCTTATACAGAGCGACTTACAGTTAGTGAGTGCATACATTTTTCATACTGGCCCCCTGTGGGAAACAAACCCACAACCCTAGCGTTGCAAGCGCCATGCTCTACCAACTGAGCTACAAGGGGCCAGTATTATTCCAACTGCATAGTGTAGATATGTATAAAACACAGGAATATCACATTTTGGACTGCACTGGGCCTTTATGAGTTTAATAACAACTGAGTTATAATGAATAATGTACCCCCTTGAGGTCTCAAAGAAATAACTAATCAAAAGAGAACCATCTTCTCCCAGAAGCTTGGCTGGATATATAAATTAAATTCTGTATCTCCACACGGTTTAAACTAAGAATTAGATTTCACTTCCTTCCTATAAGCCACATTTGGACTGTTCTACATGAACAATGTCCATATCAGATTTTGCATATTGTTTATTTATGAACGGCTTTGCCTGATGTCCTTTATAGTGGGCTAGCTCATGAATGGATGTGATGTATTTAGGTGAGCGGACACCTGGGGGCGATTGATTTGTGAGTTGCCCTTCGTACCCACTCCCATACCCTATAACTCTTTCTTTTTGTGACAAATTTGTATACAGGTAGACCAGAGGGGCCGATGAGTGGCAACCCTGATTAGAAGCAACTGCTGCTCATCTGTTGTTCTTTCGAAATGCTGTTTTGAATGAAATAAAATTGTACCTACACACTGAAGAAGGCTGTAAAGCTGAAACGTCTGTACGCTCTCCTTGACATTGAATAATGAAGTAAGCTTTATGCAATATATTTGAGTGTGAACCCATTACACCTCTGTCTCAAATAAATGTCAGAGGAAGGCCCTTAAAATTGTCAAAGACTCCAGCCACCCTAGTCATAGACTGTTCTCTCTGCTACCGCACGGCAAGCGGTACCGGAGTGCCAAGTCTAGGTCCAAAAGACTTCTCAACAGCTTCTACCCCCAAGCCATAAGACTCCTGAACAGCTAATCATGGCTACCCGGACTATTTGCACTGCCCCCCCACCCCATCCTTTTTACGCTGCTGCTACTCTGTTAAGTATTTATGCATAGTCACTTTAACTCTACCCACATGTACATATTACCTCAACTACCTCAACTAGCCGGTGCCCCCGCACATTGACTCTGCAACGGTACCCCCCTGTATATATAGCCTCCCTACTGTCACTTTATTTTACTGTATATATAGCCTCCCTACTGTCACTTTATTTTACTTCTGCTCTTTTTTTCTCAACACTTTTTTTGTTGTTGTTTTATTCTTACTTTTTTTGTTTAAAATAAATGCACTGTTGGTTAAGGGCTGTAAGTAAGCATTTCACTGTAATGTCTGCACCTGTTGTATTCGGCGCATGTGACCAATAAAATTTGATTTGATTTGATTTGAAATGTTATCCTGACTATAAATGGAGGTTATTGCCTAGTGTGCCTGTCAAAAAAGGAAATGGCTACCCTTGCAATGGCATATTCATTATCTTGTGTAATCAGAATAGAATCTTCTGGAGAACATTTCAAATCAGATGTTCACAGCCATGCCAGTGGGACTGTTGAATAGATGAGAAAAAAATCATGTCAACTGAGATAAAATACAAAATATGTATCATAAAACACCAACCTATAGGTCTAAACTACAGGACTCAGGTACTTGCCAACCTGCTTGGAGGGATGGTAGACAGTGGCTTGCCCAACAACCCAATGAGTGTGTTGAAAGCAACATGTCATATTGCATGTGACCTACACATGACTGACTCAGGATGTAGAGAGTAGGTGTGTGGCACTGACTCCTATCCTATTGCTTAGTTGCTTTCCACTTGATGGCCAAATTCACAGAATATCATGGATAAGTGTATTTATCAATCACAAACCTTAATTCACTAATTTGGTTTCTTGTCAATGTAGTTAACTAACAAACATTGTACTACTTAACTGCATTGCCTAACTAGCAAGGAGTTACCTAGTTAACATTGTGCGGTATAGCCGCAGTTGAAATCGTTGGTATAGATATAGCTAGCTAGTTAACATTAATTATTGACCACAAGTGTACGAAGGCTGTAGTAATGTAACGTTACACACTGGGATATTGACTTGCCTGGCTAATGTTAGTTAACTAGTTAGCTAAATTAGAGATTATCACAACATATCTAATGACATGTACAGTAGCTAGTTGACGTGCGTTGAATTATCAGGCTACTAGAATAAAAAGATAACTAGCTAAGTAACTTACATTAGCTAGTACCAACTAAACTTAGCTACTCTGCCCTAGCAGTTAACGTTAGCTAACTATTTATTTTGAATAACTACGCCGGTGCTAGCTAGCAACTAGCTAGCTGGCTGTAAACACACATTTAATGACATGGAGTAACCTGTGTGAAACGTTAATATACCTCAACAAACAACACAGTGACTAATGGTAGCTAGCTAACTAGTTTGCACTTTTTAGACGGACAAAACACAAACAGGTTAGATAACGTTAGCTGTGTAGCTAGCAGAACAGCTAGCTAGCTAGGTTAGCGAACGTTCACAGTTAGTTAGCTACTTACTATTCGGGATTCATCGTGGACTCGTCACAGTAAATCCCCGTTTCTTATAAAACGGCACTCTTTCGCTCTGAAAACTGTTAATAAATAGTTAGTTACTTTTTTAATCAAAGGAATTAGCTAGCTAACGTTAACTAGCTGGCAAGGTATTCCTCCAAACCCAGGCTAGTTGTCTTGAAACCCAAAATGGCTGCTAGTATCAACCAGGAAATAGCAACTCCTCAAACACTGAACAGAGAAGCCCTACTAGAGCGAGTTGAGCGATTCTCGGAAATCGTAGTTTGTTCCTAAAGGGTCGTCTTATATTGAGTATGTTCTACCGTGCCGAATATGACTACAGTACCCTAATGACAATGTAGCTAGGAAAATAGGCTGGTCGATGTTTCGCTTGCCCCTTGTGCTTGCTGTCAAAGCTTAGGAAGATTACGTCATTACTAGTGAAACGTGGCAAAAATGTTGGCGTGAATCAGTCTGGACTGGGGAAATCAATGAATTGCTCTCCATTAAGATTAATCAAATCTAAATCAAGTCTGTCATATTTGATTACATTAATTCTAAGATGAGTGCCAAAAAAACGAATTGTTTCTCTGTCAATATGTTCTCAAAATGTATAGTATGACCCTGATGGTTAAAGTCTGTTCAGTGAGTAAACTAATGACAACAAAGGACCACATGGGGGATACAATTGCAAAATTAACTGAAGGCACAGTCCAGTTCCCTCATGAAATTGACCAGCGACATCAGATCATTTGATATCAACAAAGGTTAGCTAAATGTGTACATTCAGAAGGATCTTCCATTCTGAGTTGTTGAGTCATAGTGTGAGTGACATCAGCCTAGGATGGTCACCTGTCAGACCTGTCAGCACCTGCACAGGTATGAGTCAGTCAGTCCATAAGCTGTGTATGTGAAAGGAGTTCAACATTTCACAAGTAGGCTAAAGCTAGAAACTTCCTTTACATAAATTGGTTTAAAAAAGTCTGCTACATACCATTATAACATTATTTTCATACCTGTGTGTAGGCCTACTTTAAAATAGAATTTCAGACAGCACAATTATACCCTTATAGTAATCATCCAATAGTTTTATTATCCATTACTATCAATAAAATTCAAGACATCACCGATAACAATGACACACCCTTTATTTCACTGTACATGTGTGTCACATTCTTCTGTGCCTTCCGTTACTGTGGAATTTGGAAGCTGAGTACTTGTTTCCACATAGTCCTTCCCCTGGTTCCAGAATGTGTAGGGAAACTCCACTGAAGAGGCAGCCCCTACTTCACCCTAGAGGACAGAGGATAGGTTTCAATCTAGTGTTAGGGAGTCGAGGAGACAGAAAGACCCAATCTGTTTGTGTGCAACTTAATTTATTTATATAGCAAATGACAACTCTATATCTCTTTAATATAGTATTAAGAGTAGAAAAGATACCTTCACGTTCAGGGCGATGAGTCCAATCTCAAAGCACCTGTCTGGGGCAGTCCTCCTGATGATGTCATCCAGGACAGTGTAACAGGCCCTGTTGGGTGATGACCCCTGGGAGAGAGACAGGGAGTCAGTTGAGTTAAGGGGGAGGTCAAACGTTCCAGGCAGGCTAATGCTGTGTGAATTATAGCTGGCTAGTTAGATTTCATGGGTCAGTGTGGCTGCTCAAACATCTCAACCACAGGGCACATCAAACCTACACCTGACTCAGTATAAGGTTGACAAAGTAAAATGATTTATGACTTGATAATCTCATAACACTACCTGTTTCATCAGTTGAACAGCGTGGAAGCTTGGGCAATGGCACATTATTTTATCACCATCACCTGTGGCTGATAAGAGAACTCATTAGAAAATATAATAAAACATATATTTGAGCATGCAAAGAAAAGATAATCCAAATAGTTCACATACCTGCCGCGGCTCCCACCTGAAAAAGTGAGCATGGTTTTACAATGACAGAGATGACAGTCATAGAAAAATGTGGCAGTTACACTTAGTGTGAACCTCCAATCTGACTGTTACTTCAGTTTTAATATTTTAAACCACCTTCAATTCAACATGCGTTTCCCTTGCGCTAGTGTTTTCTTATTGATCATAAGATGGTAAACTGTGGTGTGTGGTGAATTGGCTATGAATCAGATTCCCTTTAAGCGTACTGAAACCAAGACATGGTTGTGTGTGTGCTGCTGCTCTGGAACTGGGAGAAAATTGTAAATATTTAATCCACTCCCAGGCGCTAGTGAGTATCCAGGTCAAAGAGAGACTGTTTATAGGCTGTTGGAATAAGGCCAAAATTGTTTGCCCCCTAACAATTCTCCATTGGTTTTCTTGCCCCACTAGTCCATTGAGTATTGTACTGGCTAACATAGACATTAAATAGACATTAACATAACAATAGCGTATTAAAACTTTACATAAACCTTCAATCTTTGTAAGATTAACAAACATGCAGTAACATGGATTCATTATGTAGTACTTCACATAACAATATTACCCAGAAAAGGCTACTAAAACACTGAGGGGAAGAAGTTCATCAGTGTGTGCAGTTCTTTGATTGAGTTGATTTTGGTAGCTGTAAACTTGCCATGTGTTCAGCGTATAGGCCACAGCCCGGTAGGGGCGAGTCTCCCACCCTCCCTGGTGATTTGAAGGGGGCCCCTGAAGTAGAAACTCCTGAAAAACAGGACATGAGCAAAATCAGCTGAATCATAATACTACAACCTAACCTCATACTGTAGCTACTATGGAAGTATCTTTAGATTTTGAAAATAAATACACAATGAATGGAGCTTGCAATGTCTTTTACATAATAAGTAAGAAAGAGCAAGAGAAAAAACAGAAGACACCAACTTCCTCACCAACAGTTATGTTCCCCATGTTGTCTAATGCTATAAGTCCTGTTGAGAAAGGGAAGATGAGAAGGTGTTAGATGTGCTAATAAATATGTAACCTGCACTTTTAGACCTGCTTCCACAGATGTTTTGTACCAACATGTCTTGAAGGAATGGTCAGTAATAAAAAAAATCATAATATAAAAAGGGAAAGTGGGGTTATTTAACCTAGATGAGAAAATTGGATATTGGAGATTGGGGAATCAAGACTATTGTAAAGAGATTCCAGATTCAAAACAGTAGGTGTCAGGTCAGGGATCCATACATAATGTAATAGACAACCCAGACTAATGTGATTATATGGATTAGGACTCCCCGTAGAGGACCAAACAATTTAATGCACAAATATCAGTCACATTTATCAGTCGTTTTCAGTTATGTTACAGTAGGTGTTCTACTGTCACTCAATGTTCTACAATGAGCAGGAAGATCATGATAAATAAACATTTTTAAAAAGCAAGTTTCAGTTCTCACCAAGTGTGTCATGTCCACTGACACTTTGCTTCTGTTCCAGAAATTCCTGCATGAATGAATGAGTTATAATTTTTTTGTTTTCCAATATCTGTCATTTATATTTAAAATGGTTAGCCATGCCATTTTCCCCTAGGGAGTATTGGTACCTGGTAAGCCTTGGCTGAGTGTGCACTCAACATGTTGTCATTGGGCTCTATAGTAAAGCCCTGCTCCCTGGCGAAAGCTGCTGCTCCCTCCCCAACCAGCAGACTGTGGGGGCTTCTGTCCATCACCCTACGAGCCACCCGCACCGGAGCCCCAACCCTGGAAACAATAGTTTCATTCCGGTGCATTTATTAATGGGCTTCCCTATGAGTATTCATTTTCACAGACATCTCTTTCCCATGCCATGGCATTAGTTTTAGCAGGTGGTTCTCTCACCCTCGTAGTGCTGCGACTGCCCCGAACCTGCCAGTGATGCCCTCCATGATGGCAGCATCACACTCCACCACTCCCCCACTGTTAGGGAATCCTCCCCTCCCCACAATGTGAAGCCCAGTCTCTGGGTCATCTTCAACCTCTGGAAGAAATACAAGAGTATCATAATGGACATAAGACGTGCTGCTTTGCGGAACTGTAGTAGGTGGGTCACCCACGCCAACTCATGCCAACCTGCCATGGCCTCCTCTACAGCATCTGTGGCGTGTCTTCCAGCGGTAATCAGGGACCGTATTCTCTCCACGGAAGGCTGAGAGAAACCCCATGTCCCCACAGCTGCCATGGATCCGCTGTCTGAAGAACTCTACTGGGTCTAGGACAAAACACAGGGTTATAGTCCCAATCCATGTGCAAATTCAAGTCCCAACATCCAAGGTCTGGGATTAACAAACTAGTAAATAAACAAATAGATTACTAGCACTTTCCTCTCATCATCTTCTTTACTTCATGAGTCACCATCGGAAAAGCTGTACTGGTGAAAGCAAGAGATCCCTACCTATGCATCTACTGGGCAAAATAAAAATAAGCAGTTGTAGATTATGGACATGACCAAGGATTAAACCCACTGATTTCACCACAACCAGTATTGATCTCTATATGCCTCTGGATCCAACAACTAGGCTACAAATCATTATTAGATTCTGAGAGGATCCTTGGTGTAAGTAATGCAAATGCCATGCTTGTAATGATTATTGCGTGTTTGTTTACATCAGTACTTGAGAGAGGGTAGCTGCTTTTAGCAACGCGGGTGTATTTAAATACACCATCCTTGCTCCCAATTTCATTGGGTTGCACAAAAACTGAGAATTTGAGACAAAATATCTAAAGAATCGTACTATTAAACAGACCTTCCAAACGTGGGTCTGTTGTAGACCCACTTCTTCTCTGCTTACCTCATGTCAAAATAAAAGTCCCCCACAAGTTATTCATTTTTTGTCCACATGGCGCATGTGCAGAACTTTTATTTACTTATATTACCCCGTCATAATGACCAACCGACCGGCACAGTAAATCGAAATAGAATATTATTTAACTGGCTTCCTGCGGACTGTTTTTGTGCAGCCCAATACAATTGGGCTCAACGCGAGTGTATGTAAATACACCCGCGTTGCTAAAAGCAGCTAGAGGGACTGGTTCCAAAGGCTCCACATAGCCTACCTTAGTTCTCCTTCAGCTTCCCTGTACAGTACAACTCACATACATTACTTATGCTTATTTATGTTAAACTAAGCTGCCAATATCACCAAACAGAACAAGAAAAACAGTATCTGTGATATCACTCTATATGGACCCTCCTTACTTGAACCACTGCAGAATGTTTTCTACCACTTCCCTATCGACGACGACTTGCAGCACTAGCAAATGAAAGTGATCTTCTTCTTCGATGAGATTTAACGGCAGTTGGCATCCAATAAATGTTGCATTACCGCCACCTACTAGACTGGAGTATAACTCCCTTATACTTTGTTTGAAAAAAAAATAAACAAATAACCTACCATCTAACACTACACTCATAAAATAAATTATTAATATTAATAATAAATAAAACCACCCTACTCCACTATTTAAATCTATTTAGTCCTACTTCAGGCCAACAGCCTGAAAGGATAGGACACCACCACTTAACACATCCTGTAATTCTTCTGACGTCAAGTCTCGCACACCCAAATACCTCTCTGCAGCTGCCACCACAACCTCAATTTTCTGCGACTTACGTTCCATCCCTGCAGTACAGTTGATAACCATTGCTAGAAATGCTAAAAATACAATCTTACTGAAACATATATCACTTGTTGGCCTATCCATCTGTACAGGTACAGTTCTATTACTCACACCACTCCTCTCAGGATCCCTCCCCCTTGACCCATAATAATAATAATAATAATAATAATAATAATAATAATAATAATAAATAATAATAATAATAAATGCCAACTTGCCAAATAAATATCACATACCATCTTCCTCTACTTTCTTCACTGCCTCAGCATATGACAACTTCTGCACTATTCTAACCCTGGAAACCTCAACCTGCCTCTCTCGCACCAAACATTTCTGATCCCCAGCCCCATGGGCACCCCTACAATTAACACATATCACTACTTTCCCCAATGCTACACATTCCTTTGTCGCATGCCCTTCTGCACACTTCTCACACCTAGGAACCTCCCTCCTATACACTGCTGCCACATGCCCATAAGCTTGACACCTGTAACAACGTAATGTATTCGACACAAAAGCTTGTACGGGATAACTTATATATCCTAACATCACTTTGTTGGGCAATGACTCAACATCAAAACTCAAAAGAACAGACAACGAGTCTTCTGTTTCACCACTCACACCACCCTGTCTGCGTCACACCAAACGACGAGCATCACAAACATCGTGAATCTTCCCCTTCAGTTGGTCAACTTTCACATTTACCGATACCCCAGTAGTCCCTCCTTTCAATGAAAGTGATCTTCTTCTTCTTCTTCTTCTTCTTCTTCTTCTTCTTCTTCTTCTTCTTCTTCTTCTTCTTCGGAATTGGGTTGGCGGATCGCATCCAACTTTTAAGGTACATACACCGCCACCTACTGTACTGGAGTGTGAGGCCAGTCACGGCCTACCTACATTAAATTATATTCATTAGTCCTGTTCCTCTAAGAAAGTGAAATAGAGCCCTAGACACCACTTCCCTCCCATTTCCTCCCCCTACTACACCACCCAAACCCCAACCTCTCTAACCTTTCACACAATCTCTCCCTGTCTACGCCACACAGTTCACAAAATATCAGCACATGCTCCACCGTTTCCTCCACTAAACACGTTTCATGTCTCCCCATCATCCACAACGTGGCATGCAAACCTGTGTGCCCAAACCGTAGTCTACTCCACACAACTTCCTCTCTCCTACATCCCATACTCCCCACCTGTTCCTTTGCTGACCGGTCCATGCGATAAAATTGCCTCCCTTTACTACTAGCATCTCACTCCCTTTGCCAAAGATCAAGTCCTTTTGCCCGGATCAAGAACTTGACTTCCCTGCGGCCCAGTGAGAGCTGAATATCTACCCCTTCTCTCCTCACAGCACTTTTAGCGACCACATCGGCCTTCTCATTACCCTCCAAACCCACATGGACGGGAACCCAGCAAAAGCTTACCACCACTCCCATCCTCTCCAATCCCAATAACAACACCATTATCTCCACAAACAAGTCTCTCCTATCTGACCTGCCCGACTTCACACTACTCAACACTGCAGCCGAATCAGAGCAGATCACCACTCTGAGTGGTTTCACCTCCTCCACCCATCTCAAACCTAGAATCATGGCCGTCAACTCGGCCACATACACTGACACATAATCAGTTGACTGTTTACATACTCTAAGATTGAAATCTGGGATATACACTCCTGCCCCTACCCTGACTGGATCCTTTGAACAATCTGTATATATCCTTAAAAACAAATAAAAACGGATTATCTACAGTTGAAGTCGGAAGTTTACATACACCTTAGCCAAATACATTTAAACTCAGTTTTTCACAATTCCTGACATTTAATCCTCGTAAAAATACCCTGTCTTAGGTCAGTTAGGATCACCACTTTATTTTAAGAATGTGAAATGTCAGAATAATAGTAGAGAGAATGATTTATTTCAGCTTTTATTTATTTCATCACATTCCCAGTGGGTCAGAAGTTTACATACACTTAATTAGTATTTGGTAGCATTGCCTTTAAATTGTTTAACTTGGGTCAAACGTTTCGGGTATCCTTCCACAAACTTCCCACAATAAGTTGGGTGAATTTTTTGCCCACTCCTCCTGACAGAGCTGGTGTAACTGAGTCAGGTTTGTAGATCTCCATGCTCGCACACACTTTTTCAGTTCTACCCACAAATGTTCTATAGGATTGAGGTCAGGGCTTTGTGATGGCCACTCCAATACCTTGACTTTGTTGTCCTTAAGCCATTTTGCCACAACTTTGGAAGTATGCTTCGGGTCATTGTCCATTTGGAAGACCCATTTGCGACCAAGCTTTAACTTCCTGACTGATGTCTTGAGATGTTGCTTCAATATATCCACATAATTTTCCTTCCTCATGATGCCATCTATTTTGTAAAGTGCACCAGTCCCTCCTGCAGCAAAGCACCCCCACAGCATGATGCTGCCACCACCGTGCTTCACGGTTGGGATGGTGTTCTTCGGCTTGCAAGCCGTTTTTCCTCCAAACATAACGATGGTCATTATGGCCAAACAGTTCTATTTTTGTTTCATCAGACCAGAGGACATTTCTCCAAAAAGTACGATCTTTGTCCCCATGTGCAGTTGCAAACCGTAGTCTGGCTTTTTTATGGTGGTTTTGGAGCAGTGGCTTCTTCCTTGCTGAGCTGCCTTTCAAGTTATGTCGATATAGGACTCGTTTTACTGTGGATATAGATACCTTTGTACCTGTTTCCTCCAGCATCTTCACAAGGTCCTTTGCTGTTGTTCTGGGATTGATTTGCACTTTTCGCACCATAATACGTTAATCTCTAGGAGACAGAATGCGTCTCCTTCCTGAGCGGTATGACGGCTGCGTGGTCCCATGGTGTTTATACTTGCGTACTATTGTTTGTACAGATGAACGTGGTACCTTCAGGCGTTTGGAAATTGCTCCCAAGGATGAACCAGACTTGTGGAGGTCTACCATTTTTTTCTGAGGTCTTGGCTGATTTCTTTTGATTTTCCCATGATGTCAAGCAAAGAGGCACTGAGTTTGATGAAGGTAGGCCTTGAAATACATCCACAGGTACACCTCCAATTTACTCAAATGATGTCAATTAGCCTATCAGAAGCTTCTAAAGCCATGACATCATTTTCTGGAATTGTCCAAGCTGTTTAAAGGCACAGTTAACTTAGTGTATGTAAACTTCTGACCCACTGGAATTGTGATACAGTGAATTATAAGTGAAATAATCTGTCTGTAAACAATTGTTGGAAAAATTACTTGTGTCATAAACAAAGTAGATGTCCTAACCGACTTGCCAAAACTATAGTTTGTTAACAAGAAATTTGTGGAGTGGTTGAAAAACAAGTTTTAATGACTCCAACCTAAGTGTATGTAAACTTCTGACTTCAACTGTATATATCTGACACACCGTCTCACGTACTGCCCCCATTCGCTCCTGCCCTCAATCATGTCCACATCTACACTTGGTTTCGGAAACAGCCACAGAGGAACGTTCCCCAATGCAATTGCCGGCCCTATCTTGCTCTCCCCCAGTCCATATTCTACTACCTTCTGCCGGATTGTCCACCCATATGCCCTCTGCTTACCCACTCCTAATTTCCAGCATTCCCCAGTTGCCGTGACTACAGGATGTCCTTCTGAACTCCCTTTCAACCTCACCCAGTACGCAAATGCAAGTTTGTCCTGCCTTATCCTCAGTGGCAGTTCCCCACTATCCACCTGCAATACCTCAACAGGTGTAGTCCTAAAGGCACCCACACACAATCTCAGGGCCCTTGACTGTATCCTATCCAGG